TTTTTTTTTTTTTTAAACACGATTTATTAATTCAAATTCAAATTTATGGATGTTCTAATATTTTGTTATTAAAGAATTTTATCGTTCCACATTTTAAGTAAATAAAGGTAAATGAAATTAATTTTTGGTAACACCTCAAGATGAATGAAATTTTGGGACGTTACATGAATTCCTCCACTTCAAAATTCGTAATTTATTTTTCCCCCAATTATTTTAGCTTTGAATTGAACCATATAGTACGATTCAAATTTTACCACTTAACTAAAACTATTTAACTACATAAAACAGTTAAGTAAGCTGAAACGGGCAAATTATAACATGGAAATTAGGAAGAAACAATATATATAAATACAAAAACCAAAAATTACCCAAAAGTTCTGCCACTACAGCCGTAAAGTAAGACAACTAAAAATATATATTGTTGGAAAGAAATTGATACATAAAGAAATTGTTGGAAAACAGAAAGAACCCTAAAGTAAATTAGGAAATAACTCTAAACTGAAGCAAATATCATATGAAATCGACATTGGCTGATGTCACCAATGTTCTATTTCTGTAAGATTTTGGTTCTTTGATAAACTTTCAGATAAGTTGAAACACAACTCACTACAGTCATCGATACCACTACCTAAAAAAAAGATTCTACAAACAGAAAAGGGAAAGAAGCAATCACTTTAAAATACACAAGATTTGAATATACCTCATCGCAAATCGACAATAAGAAAATATTTTTCAAAAAATAAAGAACCCTAAATCGAAGCAAGAGATAACTTGAAAATCAAAGAATATGAAATCGAGATACCTCGGGACGTTGGTGCCCTATGTCTGGGAATTTTTACGTCCTTTGAAAAACTTCCATTAAAGTTCGAACACAAAAAAAGAAGACAATTAGCCAATTAACAGTAAATCAAAAGAAACTGAAACAAATAAAAAGAAACTAATGAAGCTCTTATCGGCTGTGCGTACAAGAGTCTAAATTTGCATAAGAAAAGCAAAGAGCAAAGGAGAGAGTCCATTGCAGCTAGGGTTTGTGTTCGAAGAAGCGGGAATAAAATTAAGCTTAGAATTGGCTACCGATAGTAAGGGGGTGTTTGATGCATATTATTAAGGGAATAATGTATTTTAAATAGTGATGCAGATGAAAAATATGTGGTTAAAAAATAAGAAATTTTTTTGGGTGTGATGAAATATATTATTTTATCGAAAAATGTGTAATTGAAAATGAGTTATGAAAGAATGTAGATCAATCAGTGGCTAAATGGTTGCTTTTTGTTTTTTCTTTTTCCTTTTATTTAAGAGGAAAGCAATGATACAAGAAGAATCAACAATGATGAGTATGAGGAAGTCCATATTACCATTTGTTGTAAAACTTCATGAATGATAGTGGAGGATGGATATGGATAAGATGAGAACAAAAAAAGCTTCATAAATGAACATGATGGATTGTCTCTTTTAAGATAATAGGGACGGTGATTTAGTTATAAGATATAATGTTCAATGTGTTAAAATGGCCTTATTGACATCCTAGCAAAGAAAGAATTATTTTTTTTGTAATAAATCTAAACCATATTTCATTCTGAGATGTTCCGTTAGATAATATTTATCTTTTACATGGTTTGTCACTTTTGAAATAAAAATTGACGTATCATGTCACTTTTATAAACAGAATTAGCAAACACTTAAAAATCGAATTTTACATATAATTTGTGATTAAATAATAATTAAAGATATTAATCTATTTTCTTGATTTTGAGTTGTAGACGGACTACAATTAAAAACTATAATTACATAACTATAAAGGTTTGTGACATATGATGAAAGTTTGTTACCAATAATTACATAACTTATCAACATTTGGTCATATTTTGTGATGTTTGATCAAAGTTTATGATCAATAATTTAATTAATCAAGTCAGTCACAAATCATATACAATTGATGGTCACAGTTACAAATAACACAGTTACGATTGCAAAGACAAAATTTATGGGTCACAATTACAAATTTAATCGTAAAATCACACATTTTATAGATTATATATCACTTATTGATCATAAATTACCCATTTTATTGGTTGTGACTACCTAAATAATTGATCACAAACGCTCATCGTCCCACCACTAGTCCACCACCATCGGCATGACTAAATGCTGTCACCACTGCATCATCACCACTGCATCACCACCACCACCACTTCCACCAACTATCATTTTCATCTCACCATCATCGCAATTGCATCACCACCACCCCACCACCCCAGATCTACTGCACCACCATTACTACAATGTACCTGCGCCTACACCACTACCGCACATCACTACCACATATCACACCAACCATTACCACACTACACCAACACCACCATCGCACACCACCGCCGCCGCCTGCACCTCACTGTCATCCCCAATCCCCTTAAAATTGCCTCTGACTACTGATAATCACTTGAAGCAATCACTTATTAAAGTTTACATATGGAAAACATGGCGAAGAAAAACTATCTATGTAGCAGTGGACAACATAGCCAAGAGGCACAATGTGGGGACATTAGCATGTAGCGACATTGCCTTCGAGGTGTTAGTACCGATTCTCGTTGGCAGTTGTGACTCTACTTCTCACTTACACTTTTGCCTTTGGCAGTCGCGAATCCACTTTCATACTGATTTACGACAAGAAATAGGAGGATGAAGAGGGCAGTGGCAATCGGTGTTCATTGGTTTGGGACTGTGGAAATGGAGGTGGTGGTCAACAGTTTGGGACTGTGGGGTATTTTGGGTGGAAATGGTTTTAGGGTTTGGTAAGTAGTGGGGTGGAAGTAGGGTACACTTGATTTTTGGATGAAAACATTTTGCACTTGATTGTTGAAAGGAAAATGTTTGTTGTACATTATCATTATCTTTTACAGATTGATGATGTGTCAAAAGAAAGTGGGGAATTTTTTTTATTTTTTTTAATTGATTGATGAGATTTTGATCCAATTAAATCTATCACATCGTTCATTGATAAACAAATTTGCAAGTTATGATATACATATAGCACAATCATTGAAAAGTAGACGCGAGTAATTCGTCCCATTTTTAATTGAAGTCAAAGCACAATCACGAGAGCGAGCATCACGGACAAGGCTTACCAGAGAAGCTTCCTTTTCATTCAATCGCCATATTTGGCGCCTCTCTACACTTTCAAAACCCTCGCTTTCCCTCCAAATTTCACTGTTTGACCCTGTCTCTGTCTCACACACACTCAACTCATACAGAGAAACAGAAATGGAGCAACAGAGAAAGCAGAAGACGATGCAGCTAGAACAAGAGGAACAAGAAGACATACAACACGGTCCTTTCCCTGTTGAGCAACTTCAGGTCCATAATTCGATTTTCCTTTTTCGATTTGAGTTTATGTTTCTTGACGACCTGCATTTGAATCTATCTAATTTTCAAAGTCCTTTTCTTTTTGTTTGGATTTCTTTTTATTTTTATAGTACTTTTGTCAGAGTTTTTTCATAGATTATTAATCAAGATTTGTAAATGGGTATCTGAATTGAATTTTAATTTTTCCATTCCCGTGTCATTCGTTTCAAGGAAAGGGTTCTAGCGAACTTTCATGCTGTTTTATTTTATTTTTCCTGTCTTTTCAATATACATAAATGCTCAATCGTTTAATTTTTCGATTTGATTTCCATTTTTTGTTCTTGAATTACACTTTTCAAGAAGGGTTCTCGGATTTTTAAGATTAGATTTAAGCTGCTATTTGAAACGCTAAATATCAAGAGGCCCATGTGTGATGTTTTGAGATGGGAAAAATACCCAATTGTATAATTGGATGCTAAGTTAATGGGCCAAGAATGTTAAATATCACATCACATTAAATGGGTCTTCCAATTTGCACTCGAATTCTTGGTTCTTGGATTCTGCTTCTTATTGAAGAAAATGTAAATTGCATCTAACTATCAAGAATGGTTTATCAATTTTTGGCTATTTAGTTAGTCGTCTCAAAATTCCATTGCACATATTCACAACTTTATCACTTGGTAGAGTATTACTTTCATTATCTTTTTTGTCAATATTTTGTAATTCTTTTAACAAATATTTTGGAAGAATCTAGGTTTCACAGTGGTGGTATACTATAAAATGTTTATGGATTGTCTAGGAACAAAAAAATGGTGCCAGGATAAAAAATGATAGCACTATGTTTGTAATATGCACAAATACATGAATGATCTAATATATATCGGTGTTCTTCTTATGTTAAGCATCGATAACGTGTTATATGAATCAATTGGTGGATTTTAAATTTAATTCAAATGTTGAGACCCACCATAAGTTTATCTACCAATCGATTTATATGACACGTATTCGGTGTTTAAAATAAGATGAGTATCAATGCTCATTAGATCATCCTATGCATAAATATGTTGTTTATTTAATCATATTCCATGGTCCCAATTCCTTGCTACTTAAACATAGCCTCTTTACAAATTTTTTCACTTCCCTGGCATTATTCGTGAGATGCGTGGAAAATTAGAAACTCTTTTCCAGTTACAGTAAATTTTTGCTGTGTAAAATATTACTTTCTCAAAAAGTGTAGGTATCATTGTGGTAACAGGGATGAAATGGAGTCATGCTTCTTTGTTTAGTAGTGGTGAAGATTAAGCCCCTGTTTTTCATCCATTTTATCAAACATTGTTTGTTACAGTAAACAATCTCCATCACATATTCACTCAATAAAATATACTACACACAAATCAATAAAATTACTTTACTTTTCAATTACACGTTCTCCAAAAAATACTATTCAAAACTTTATTTCTTCTCCCAAAATAGGAGACAAACAAGCACTAACAGGTTTCAAAAGAACTGAGGTGGTTTAATGATTTTAGTATGAATAAGAGTAATTGCCATTTAAAATCTCCGGCTTGTTTATGATTTTCCCATTTTTGCAACAATGATGACTTGATATATTTCTGTATGTCTATGTAAATCAGGATTCAAGAACTAAAGGCAGCCAATCTTGGTGATTCATTATGAGATCTAGAATATTTTCAGTGTATTAATTCTTCTTTTTCCTGTTTTGCTTTAAGGCATCTGGTATTGCTGCCATTGACATAAAAAAGCTAAAAGATGCCGGCCTATGTACTGTAGAATCTGTTGCATACTCTCCAAGGAAGGAGCTTCTGCAAATAAAAGGAATAAGTGATGCAAAAGTTGATAAGATCATCGAGGCAGGCATGTGTATCTTGTTTCAAGATCTTGATATTCTTGTTATTGTGATCATTGATCGCTAATCATTGCTTCAATTTAGTTATACAAATTTTTATAATCAATCAGTGGGTTAGAATCATATTTCTTAGTCAATGTTGCATATTTCAACAGCTTCAAAATTGGTGCCTTTGGGTTTTACTAGTGCCAGCCAACTCCATGCACAGAGGCTTGAAATTATTCAAATAACTTCTGGATCAAAGGAACTTGACAAAATATTAGAAGGTAGGTTCTCATTGACTACAAATCATTGTCATACACTGTGATCTGCTTCACGGCCCCAGTTGCTTTTTGACAGGAGGAATTGAAACGGGATCCATTACTGAATTATATGGTGAGTTCCGTGCTGGAAAAACTCAACTATGCCATACACTGTGCGTGACTTGCCAGGTAATAGTGTCTACACACGACTTAGTGATATTATGCTCTCAGTCAGCTCAAGAAACTTCATTTAAAGAACCAACAGTCGCCGTGATAAATCAGATAAATGTTAAAAGACACAACAAAGTTGAGCCATATGAATCTTTTTACCATGTTTTCAAAAGTTTTACGGTTTTCCTTCCAACAACCTTGAGTTTTGCCTTAAGAGCTTTGATAATTGTCATTTTTGAGGATATACATTTCATCCCGTCAGATCATTGAATGCACAGTAATGTTGTTTTCAGCTTCCGTTAGATCAAGGGGGTGGTGAGGGAAAAGCAATGTACATCGATGCTGAGGGAACATTCAGGCCACAGAGGCTATTACAGATTGCAGAGAAGTTAATACAGCTTCCTTGAGCTGAATCTTCTCATGCATTTTGTGTAGTTTTACTTAACTAAACTTTACCTGATGATTGATGCATAGATATGGGCTGAACGGTGCTGATGTTTTGGAGAATGTGGCATATGCTCGAGCATATAACACTGATCATCAATCTAGGCTGCTGCTTGAAGCTGCTTCAATGATGGTGGAAACCAGGTATTTTCTATGTCCTACAAACACAACAATCCAGGGAGGCTTCTCGTGATTTATTTATAGATATAATTGGGGTACTGATGGATGTGTCTCTTTTCATATCTATGTTTAGTGTGGTAAAAGCTTATAAAAGCGACCTATTAATTTTGCTATGCTACCGGAATTTATTGTCGCAAGGATTGACTCTTAAGTGCAATCTTGTTTCCTGCACTCTGCATTTCATTTTGTTTGTTGACGCTATTAGTAGGCATAATAAGTGCTTGCTTGATCATGCTTCACAGTTATTTTTTTCAAAAAGTGGATAAATAGAAACCACAATTATTGCATAGGAATTAGGATCCACAGTTTGGTTCTAAAGCCACAAAAAGTAGAGGCTCTGGTACTTATAAGCACACCCAACCATGTGCTTAGTCATTCTCTGCTTGTTGATTTGCCAATGATGAAAGCTGCCCACATTGTGTTTGACATCGTAATTCATTTTAATCACACAGGTTTGCACTTATGATAGTAGACAGTGCAACTGCTCTTTATAGGACAGATTATTCAGGAAGGGGAGAGCTCTCGGCTAGGCAAATGCATCTTGCCAAGTTCTTGAGGAGCCTTCAGAAATTAGCTGACGAGGTAGTTTCTCTGTCCATGTCTAGAGGGTTAGCTAAAATCATCAGGGCTCGAGAATTTCAATTATCTTTTATGGATGTAGTTCGGTGTTGCTGTGGTTATTACCAACCAAGTTGTCGCTCAAGTGGATGGTTCTGCTATTTTTGCTGGGCCGCAAATCAAACCCATTGGTGGTAACATTATGGCACATGCTACTACAACGAGGTTTGTATATGCTATAAGAGATTCTTACAAAGCCATATTTTAATGTTGACTAAATATCACCTCTATCCATGTTGAAGGCTTGCTCTACGGAAGGGAAGAGGAGAAGAGCGCATTTGCAAAGTGGTGAGTTCTCCATGTTTGGCTGAAGCTGAAGCAAGGTTTCAAATTTCAGTAGAAGGTATATCAGATGTAAAGGATTGATCAAGGTACCTTGACATTTTTGTATTTGACTAGTTTTGTGATGTTTGAAGGTCATTTTTATTCATCAAATATAATCTCTGTATTACTGTTTCTTCAAGCAAGCCGGGTAAGATACTTTTCTCCCCTAATTGAAGAGGAAGCCTGTTAACGTTTTGTTACTGTAATACTAGCACCAAATTCTGTTGAAGGTTGAAATTTATGTCTTTACAAGCTGTTTTACAAATAGAAATCTTCTCTTACAGCATGTTTGGCTAAGCTTATTGTTACAAAAGAAGTCAAAAACTGGCTTATCTTGAGTCTTGACGGCAGCATGCATTGAGAAAGGAGGATAGTTGAACTCGAATATGAACTAATGATTTATAAAGAACAATATTAGGGTCCTTTTGATTGCAAGGGTGGAAAATGGATGGAAAGAAAATGAATTTTAGAGAAAGTAATTGCCTAGAAATTGTTCTCCAGGGAATTGGAAAATAAGTATGTTTGATCGGTATAATTTTCTACTTGGAAAATTTTTTTAATTTTGTGTTTGTTTGACTTTATTTTACATGCAAATTGTCCATGAAAGTGATAATTTTTTTCACAATTGGTTATAAAATTTGTTTCCATTTCCAAAAAAATAAAAAATAAAAAACGAAAATTTTTTTATCAAAATTTAGTGTTTCGTCGACTTTATTTTACATGAAAATTGTCAATTAAAGCGAAATTTTTTTTTTTACAGTTGATTATGAAATTTTTTAATATTGCCAAAAAGTAATAATAATAATATTTTGCTCGAAAACTATTTTTCATCAAAATTTAGTGTTAGTTTGGTTTCGTTTTATATGAAAATTGTCCATTAAAATGAA